GAAAGAGCGAACCCTTTGGTGTGATTCAGTCCCCACATGCCTGAAGCAGCCAGGGCTGAGACAGACCAGGACCAGCCACTCGGAGCTCAACCCGAGTCTCTCTTGGGCCATTATTTGCTGCCTGCCAGGGTGTGCACTAGCAGGAAGCTGCAACAAAAGCATAGTAACTGGAGCTTGAACCCAGCAGTCTGATATGGGATGTAGATATCTTAATTAATGACTTAATTACAAAAAAATCTGCCCTTTCTTCATTTTTATTTATCAAAACAGAGTATGGTTTATAATTCAAAGGTTGCTCTTGGTAATCTGAAGGGTAAATTCTAAGGAAGCCTATATACTTTTGGCATGCAGAAACATGCGATACTTCCTCTTGGCTGACATCCTAAAGGCTGCCTCCACAGAAAACTTAGACAGAGACCAGAATTAAGAGGAGTGAGCAGCAGGAGTATGTCAGGATATGTGACAGGCTAATTAACAGTTGTTTTAGACAATAATCAGACATTACTAAGATGCGACAAGGCCAGTCCATCCCCGGACAGTACCAGTTTTCGATGAGGGAAACCAGGGAATCGGGCACACAGCTGTTGTGACAGAAGACAAATTCCACAGAGCTCTGGCAGCTCTGCCAAGAGTTAGGTCACTGGAGATGGAACGGCCCTGGGGTCAGAACAACAGACCCTGTTGACACTAAGCCGAAAGTCCTTCAATCTGCTACCTTTCAAAGTAACCATCGCTACTGCAGGGACAGCCAAGGCTCAATGGATCATACGTTTCCTTTTAGAGACCCTGTCTATTCCATACTAACCTCCTATTTGGGCCAGTCAGGCAATGGAAGTCAAGAGCTAGAAATGTCTGGGTCTCTGATGCACCTGGCCAGGCTGTAATGCCCACCTGATTATTGTGAAGCCCCTCCTGTCGCTTTCTATTTTGTATTTAAATGCTTTAAAATTAGTTAATAAGCAGGACTGAAAGCAGTGACTAATCTGTATAGTGTGGCCACAATGATTTAACGGCAGTGCTGCACCTATTTGGGAGACCCTCATGGAAAAAATCTATCAGCCTATCTCATACGTATGTGTTTAAAATAACACAGTATATAGATGGTTTGTTCATCTGTTCTCCCACTGAGACTCCGATTTTGGGCATTTGATCACTCTCTTAACTTTGTGTCCAACAAAACAAAACAAAACAACACAACACAACTAGTCTGTCACCCCTGAGAAACAAAGACTGGCCCTGGGTTAGGATACTAGGGCCCCTGTGTTGGGATTGCAAAACCTGGTCCTTTAAAGTAAACACACTACACAGGTGCAAAAGCACGTTCAAACTTTCTTTGAACAAGGCCAGACAACTTGACCAGCCTGAACAAGACTAGTAATCTGGCCATGAAAATTCTGGTCATCGCCCATCTTGGGCCCTATAGTTTCCATACGCTATTGCTTCTTTATATATTATGTGTCTGTAATGTCCTCAATCACTTTATCTCTAACAATATAAAAGCATCCCAACTCCAGTTGATTTTGAGTCAGGACTTCTAGCCACCAGATGGTGTGATTAGGTGTCTGGACAGCACAAGACAATCTTTTCTACTCTTTTTTTTTTTTTTAAAGGTTTTTTTTTTTTTTTTTTTGGAAAGTGAGATATCAGAGAGGAGGAGAAACAGAGAGGAAGGTCTTCCATCCAATGATTCACTCCCCAAGTGATTGTAATGGTCAGAGCTGAGCTGATCTGAAGCTGGGAGCCGAGAGCCTCTTCTGGATCTCTCACACGGGTGCAGGGTCTCAAGGCTTTGGGCCATCCTCCACTGCTTTCCCAGGCCACAAGCAGGGAACTGGATGGGAAGTGGAACTGCTGGGATTAAAACCGGCGCCCATATGGGATCCTGGCACATGCAAGGCAAGGACTTTAACAGCTAGGCTACCGTGTCAGGCCCTTTTTTTTTTTTCTTTTTTAAGATTTACTTTATTTATATGAATGGCAGAGTTACAAAGACAGAAGGGAAGAGTAGAGATATTCCATCTGCTGGTTTACTCACCAAGTGATCACAAGGGCCAAGCCTGGGCTAGGCCAAAGTCAGGAGCCAGGAGCTTCTCCTGTTTTAGCGCAGGGGCCCAAGGACTTGGGCTGTCTTTTGCTGCTTTCCCAGGTGCACGAGCAGAGAGCTCGATCAGAAGTAGGCAAGCCGGGACTCAAACCAGCATCCAAATGGGATGCTGGCTTTGTAGGTGGTGGTTTAATTTGTTATACTACAGCTGGGTGGGAAGTGGAGAAGCCAGGACTTGAACTGGCACCTATACAGGATCCTGGTACTTGGAGGGGGAGGATTGGCCTGTTGAGCCATTGCACCAGGCCCAAAACAATCTTTTCTAAATGCCATAGAACAGATAGCAAGAGAAGAGTCCTCACAAACACCTCAATGCTCACATGTCAGCTTGAAGCAGGTACAGAAATGGAGATATTCATGTACATGCCTCCATAAGATTATGGACCACTTCTCTGGAAGGGGGAATGTTAACACAGCTAGGTAGATATTAGTCGATGTGCGTAAGAAGTACTGGAATGAGAATTTATTTTCAAGAAAATAAATTTACATGTGATGGAACAAGACAAGTCTGTCTCTCTTACCCAAGGCATCCTTTCTTGCCTTTTATCAAAAGTCAGTGATTGAGGAAGTGATACAGCTGGCCCCACAAGTTGTGATCAGTTGACTGGAGGAATTATCTGCTTCTCTACTAGATAAGAATTCTGAGAATCATCACCTGGAGGGGTCCGTTTTGGGGAATCCTATACCTTAAGTAATTGCTACTGTTTTAGAACCCATTAGGTGCTTTTGAGCCCTCTCCCTAGGGGCAGCTCAGAGAAGGCTCCTGTGCGTGGGTATTGTAAGAGAAGTTCTGGAAGAAATTCCACTCCCAGAAATCCTGCTACCCAGTAGTGTACCAGAAAGGGTATATGGGGGGAGAATCAGTGGAGGATCCCATATTCATATCTACAAAAAACCCAATCTGAATACAGATTCTTAGGCTCTCTTGAGATGCCCATCTGGTCTAGCAGGTGTAGGAGTTTACTGTTTTATCTTTTCAATAAACTTCACTAAAACACAAAAACAAACCACAGTTTGTCAAGACCAGAAGTCATCAAAATTAAATCGATCCATTCTATAATTCAGAAGGACGAGGCTTGTAAAAGCTGTTTAATGCTAGATGGTGAAAGGTTGGGCCCAGACAGAAACTCATGAATTTCTATTTCTAGTTCACTACTGTTTTATTTTTTTTATCACCCCATCTATTGCACCTCAGATAACAACCTTGGATTTAAAATGAAACAAAAAGCCCAATCTGAATTGGTTTCAATATTTAAAGCAATTTATTATCTCCCTTGAGAATAATGGCATTTCAATATTACATGGTTGCTGGTTTTGTCCTGTCCTTCTCTGTAGGTTCAGAATGTATCTATTAAGTTTCCTACATGAGGGATGAGCATTTTAGTTAAACTGGTTGGATTGCTTGCATCTCAAACTGAAGTGCCTGGGTTTGAGTCCTACCTCAGCCCCTAATTCCATCTTTCTGCTATTGTGTTTGTTGCCTTACAAGGCAGTGAGTGGTAGCTCAAGTAATTGAATGCCTGACACCACTGTATAGCTGAAATGACTTTTGGGACACTTCAGGAGCAAATTAGCAGATGAGCATTCTCCAGTTTAATAAATAAAATTTTTAAGTGCCATGCTTTAGTCTTCAGTTGGTACTAGGGAGTTCCTTACACATCATTGTCAGAGTGGAAGAGAACCCTGATGGATTTTTTTTTAACCTTTTAGGAAAGCATTTGTTTAATGAATTCTAAAGCTCTTATTTTTTTCTTATATCCAATATATAGAACATTGTATGTATGTGTGCCCTGATCAGACTCTTGAGTTAATATCACAGTGATTTCTGCTACATATGGGAACTATAACTATATACGAAAATGGTGTGTTTTAGGTCATGGCTGTGGGCAGAGATTAATTGGTGAAAAATGGGCCTGTTTGTGGGATTTACCACACAGTAAGGTTTCTTATGTCCCTGGAAAAAAAAATGTGGAATTAGCTCTTTGAGAAATGCAGTTCTGTCGTGAGGCTGGAGGGAGTTTCAGTGGAGGGAAACAGTTCACTCTAAGGCGGTTATGATTGGGGAGAGTCCAGAGCAGTCCCTTTGGTACAGCAAACTTCTTTTCTTTCCACTTTGAAACCAGCGTTTCCTGACGTTGCTAGTTTCACCACTACTTCACAGCGTCTCACTTGCCCTCTTTAAAGGCCTATGGAGCCCAGATGAGGAGTGGTCTTGGCGAGAAGGCTTAGCCCTTCCTTCCCCATCTGTCTAGAACTTGCTGTTACAGTGGGGGGAGAAGCCTCCAATTTGGAAAGAATATGCGTAACAGCAGATCTTCCTCGCTGTGCTGGAGGCGCACAAGACTAGCCGTTGCGTATGTATGGCAAGGGTGCAAAGGGGAGGACAGGACAGCAGTTCCTTAACTGTGAAGCAAGTCTTGGATGCTCCCAGAGGCTCCTCCACGTGCCCGCTCCCCCAGGGCCACTGCAATGGTCCTGGGCTGGCTGCGTGGTTCAAGAAAACACGCTGCCCTTGAGGCCAGACCTAGCCACGGTGATTAGGGGTTCTGGGCTGTGGCCTTGGTGATGACGGGCCCTCACTTGGTCACAGCTCTACTCACACAGTCCCAGGGCCCACCCGGCACTGGACTGAGGTCAGAGGCTGCCCCTGCCGCCCTGGGGCTCGATATCGGCGGCACTAGGCACTCCTTTTGGGGAGTGGGGTGCGGAGGAGGGGGCCCAAACGCCCTCTTTTCTCCAAGACCCTAACAATGACCTGCGGGAGCCTGGCTGGTTGTCTCTGACTAACCGTCAAAAGCACCCTGTGAGCCTGGGGTCTCAGGATGGCGGGCTGGCCCTTCCCATCCGAAGACGACCCCACCGGTGTCTCCCGGCCCCAGTGGGCACCCAGGATGACCGCGATTGCTCTCTCCTTCATCGGGACTCGCCCATTCCTACGGGGTCGCGATCTCGCGTCCCTGTAGGCGACAGGCGGGCTCGGGTGCTGGCGGGGCCGGACGCGGGCGCGCGCGGACGGCGGCCTGGGCGCGCGCCCGGCTGGAGCAGCCGCGGGGGAGGAGCGCCCGCCCGCCGCTCGCGCGCCCAACGGACCGGGCTGGGGCCGTGAGGTAACTGTTGCAGGCAGCGGGAGCTGGGAGGCGACACCGAGTCTCCAGTCCCCAGAGGTGCCCGAGGAAAAAGGAGACGGCGACCGAAGCGGTGTGGGAGACAAGCCCCTTCCGCCGCTCGCCCCAGCCAACATGAGGCGGACTCTGCCGCTCCTCATCCCGAGCGGCGGAGACCCCGGGCCGCGGCGGCGGGCGCAGCTCTGACGCGCTGCGAGCCGGGGGGCGCCCCGATCGCGCGTCCGGCGTGGGGGTGGAGGGGTGGTCCGGGAGCGCGAGCTGCTGGCTGCGGTCCGAGCGGGGCGTGCTGAGCCCCGTGGCCACCCCGGCCATGAGGAGGGGCGAGCGAGACGCCAAAACCATGCGGTACCCGCCGCCGCCACCGGTGGACGGGGCCGGCTCGCCCCCCGAGAGCCTGAGGAACGGCTACGTGAAGAGCTCCGTGAGCCCCTTGCGGCAGGACCCTCCGCGCGGCTTCTTCTTCCACCTCTGCCGCTTCTGCAACGTGGAGCTGCCGCTGCCGGCCTCCCCCCAGCAGCCGCGGCGCGGAGCCCGCTTCTCCCGGGCGCGCCTCTCCCTCGGCGCCCTGGCCGCCTTTGTCCTCGCGGTGCTGCTGGGCGCCGAGCCCGAGAGCTGGGCTGCCGGAGCCGCCCGGCTGCGGACGCTGCTGAGCGTGTGCTCGCACAGCCTCAGCCCTCTCTTCAGCATCGCCTGTGCCTTCTTCTTCCTCACCTGCTTCCTGACCCGGTCCCAGCGGGGCTCCGGCCCGGGTCCGAGCAGCTCCTGGTGGCTGCTGGCGCTGCCCGCCTGCTGTTACCTGGGGGACCTCCTGCTGTGGCCGTGGTGGTGGTCCTGGCCGCGGGGGGCCGCGGACCCGAGCCCGCACACGCCCCCAGCGGCGGCGGGCAGGTTGTTGTTGGTGCTGAGCTGCGTGGGCTTGCTGACGCTCGCGCAGCCGGGGAGGCTCCGGCGCAGCATCGCGGTGCTGCTGTTCGCCAGCTGCGTCTGGTGGGTCTCCGTCACCAGCCTGGGCTCGCTGCCTTCGGTCCTCCGGCCTTTGCTCTCCTGCCTGGTCGGGGGCGCTGGCTGCCTGTTGGCCCTGGGGTTGGATCACTTCTTTCCGATCAGGGCAGCGCCTCTCCATCCTCGGCTGGCCAGCGCCGCGGACGACAAAGTGCCTGTGATCCGACCCCGGCGGAGGTCCAGCTGCGTGTCGCTGGGCGAGAGCGGCGCCAGTTACCATGGCAGTGGCAAGATGCTCCGCCGACCGTCGCTGCCTTGCATTTCCCGGGAGCAGGTACGTGGGCCCGAGCGCAGGGGCCGCCCGGGGGCGAGCGCGCCGTCTGCCCGGACGCGGCGGGGCGCCCGTGCGGGGCGCGACTTGGAAGGCACGTTTGCCGTCCGGGTGGGAGAAGAGGGGAGGAAGTCATGATTTATCCTGGGAGGGATTCCTCAATGACAGGAAACTTTGCAGAAGACAAGTCCGTTTGGTCCCTGCGGTGCCCTGAAATAGCCTGCTAACCGGGCTGCACGCACTGTTCCGCGACCTTGTTTGTGTAGTGGGGGTGGGGATGGGGGGGTTCTCCAGGAATGAGGCGGGCACACTCTGATGTGCCTCTGGCTTGGTGTCATGGTCGGTTTGCTGGTGGTGTTCCGACCCAGGGGAGCTTGCGACCTCTGGCAGGAGGGGGGTTTTCACCAGTGGGTTTTTGGGCGTGATGATAAACGAGGGGGAAGTATCGCAGATTCACCTGGAAAGAACAGTTCGGAACTGAGTAATTCAGAGGAAAGCCAGCAACGCAGTCTCTCTCTCTCTCTTTCTGTCTGTATGTTTAACAGAGTAACTCACTGTGATGTGTGTAGTTGTTGCATAATTAGGATAATGTTTTAACAGCTTAACCTTTAATCTCAGTAATGCCTGGAAAGCTGTCAAAAGCATTTCATGTGTTTTTTCTCCCTCATAGGATTCAGTTTTTGTTTTTTTTTTTTTTTTAAAAAGGACTTGGAATCATCAGGGGATGCATTTGTACCTTTTTAATATATATAGTGTTGGGAAAGCTACCTGTTGAGCGTCACCAAGAGGCTAGTAAGCATGGCTGTGGTCCGTAAAACATTTACTCAGTGCACAGTGTTTTACATATGCCGTCTCCAGTCCTCATGGGCATTTGGTAGCTGACCCTGCCTCAGTTGAGACTTGAGTTAGTTGAAGCTTCGGGGATTTGATTCCAATGTTCAGTTTTTACTGCTGTGTCCTGCACAACTAATGGGATACATGTACAAGTTTGAAGTAAGAGTATTCATCTTTTTTTAAAGTTTTTTCAAAGTTTTTTGATTAGTGGTACATTTTACGCTGGGACCCAGTATGTTGGAAACACAAGTTTCCTGTTCTGACTGCATCTGAGGCATTCTTTCTTTCTTATCTTATCTCCTGCCATCTTTTAAAAAATAATCTGCAGGGCCCCACGTTGATTTTGTGAGATGTCAGGTACCAAACATGGGTAGTGTTCCAGGGGATTAACGCTTTGCTTCTTGAAATGGCTTCCGAGGCTGCTTTGGTGGGCTGTAATCATTTTACCAAATGCTTGGAAAGCCACGTTGTTAAAGCCCTTTGTTTTCTTAGGCCAGGGATAGTAGACATTACTTAGAAAAATATGTGTCGAGGGATTTTCCCGAGGAGATGCACTGCAGAGCAAGGAAGGGGGCATTTCAAAATGTTCACGGAAAATGTAGTTCACAGGAAATCCAGGGCAGTTTTTCATGGAGTGGAATAACATTTAGACTGGATTGCATTATTAACATTGGAAAATTATTTTAGCATGGTTTCATCACGTCTGTAGACAGTTTTCCTGAACGTAACAGTGGCTATAACAGTTTAATATATTTTAATTGTACATTGCAAATGTCTGGCCTTGAGGTCCAGGTGGTACTCTTTCAATCCCAGCAGCTCTGTGAACCTTCTGCTAGGTGCAGTGTTAGGCCAGAGGGCTTCCTTTGTTGTCGGTGTTAGCAGAAAGTGCAACTTGTGTTTCCAAAGAGGGCATATTTTCTTGGGGTAGAAGGTCCTTACATGTGATTTCCTCTGAGTTGAAATATTTCTGGAGTCCTAAAATACATACAAATTGCTCCTGAATTTTCGCATGGCTCCCTAATATTCAGGGTCACAAAATACTGCTGTTTTGACATCACTAGATAGAGACATTTTTAAGCTAACAGGTTGTAATAACATGAACTTTCATTATGCGTGTTCCTAAAATTGGTGTTTGTGTGTGTATTATTAAGGAACTTAAGATGAAGATATCAGTACTTTTTTGGAAATAAAAGGTGAAGGAGATTTTTAAATTTTCAAAAATTATGCGTGACAAGTAGTAAAAAAAAAAACACATTGTGTTTCAGAAACTGAGGAAAGGCAAGCATTTGGAGTGGATCCTACTTTCAGAGAAACTGTCTTGGACTTGAGGGAGGTCAAGTCCTGGCTGTACTTTGTAATCTTGAAAAACTTAGTGAACCTTTCGCAGCCTCAGTCTCCTGTCAGATTAGGGATCCTAGTCAGTGAATTCCATGAGTTCCTAAAATCCATTTTCATTTGTCGATTAGGCAAGCAAAATGTATTATAAACAAAAGCATTATAAATGAATGGTCACAGATGAGTAATTCTTGGAATTTTACTTTAATGTTGAATAATAACCTGTATAGAAAATGATCTCATGCTCTATTCTTTTGGATAAAGAAAACTTGGTTTTTAAAAAAATATGTGAGTTCATTTTTTGGTGATAATAAAGTTATTAAATCTATTAACATTGAATACCACTTAAACTCTTACTAATATAAATGTTTTAAATAGTGTCATAACGTATTTAAGATAATTTTTAACCTTTGGGATGTTATGTGTTAGGTGCCGTGTTGAAAACCAGTGGCATGTTTGTAAATACCTAATTAGATTATAATATTAGAATTAAATGCTTTGTATTTTTCAGTTAGCTATGATTTTTTTTTCTTTTTTCCCAAAGTATTTGGAGGCTTAACATTTAAATCTGGCAATTACTGTGTCCTGCTTTGATTGGTTTATGGAAAAAAGCATTAAGTTGGTAATTTGTCTGCCTAAGTCAGTTGAAACTAATAGGAAGTTAAAAAAAAAAGCTGTCTATATGAGGGTTTGCCGAGAATTGAACAAGCTTCATTTTTTATTCTATTTGTATGTTCTGTAATGTACTTCTCACTTTTTAGTGAGATAGTTTTGTGTGTAATTAGGTGAATGTGAGGCTTTGAAAGGCTTAAATTAGTGAGATATTTTTCTATACCTAAAATGCTAAGTCCTTTCTAAATGGTTAGGTAAATATTTAAAAATTCTGTGGCCTTAATGCCCATAAATATTATTTAAAGTGTGAGCTTTATTTGAGAAAAAAAAAAAAGTACATGTGGGGTGTGAAGACTTAAAAAATGGAGGCTTTTAAAGTGTGATTGCTGATGCCCTTAAGAAAGTTGCTGGCAATACTGTACTGTGATCTCTTCAATAATAATATTCTAATTTATATATGATTTCAATGACTGTTTTACTCTAATATAAATGTTTTGTGGTAAAGTGTCAGCCTCCATGATAATTTTATATTTATTTTGTAAATATTGTATGTACAGTGACATTAAGCACCTTTTGAAATACAGATTTGAACATCTCTCTTACTCTGCTTTAAAAATGTGTCATGGTTTTTCTTTGTCTGCAGGATAAAGTTCATGCCCTTGCCTTTTGCTCACCGAGTGCTTTGTAACCTGTGCTTAGCTGCTGTTGTTATTGCGTTGTTTCATTTTCGAAAAGGCATTATGGGATTTATGAAACTGTCCCTCCTAACCTCCATCCTTGCTTCTAGCTATGTAAGGGGTGCTTATTTGTTAGGAGCTTGATGTGGATTTTTTCTTCTGCTTTTACCATTCTTTGCTCAAGTCTGCTTTAAGGAATAAATAAGATCAAGAAGTCGTTAGAAAGTTCATGTAATAGAGTATTTTCATTCTATTCCATGAAATAGTTCAATTTCATAGCTTCCACACATGGAGCAGAGGTAATGAGAAGCCAACCGTAAGGTGTGTTGTTATTGTCCTCAGATGGTATCCTCCTTAGTGGCTGGCCCTGCGAGTGTTCTTTCTTCCTTTTCCCTTCCGATGACCAGATCAGTCTCTGGTCATAGCACGTGGATGTGTCTTCCTACGTTCCACCCAAAGCAGTGAGAGTGTATACTTGCTGAAAACTTACTTCACTACACATTTTTTGCTTTGTAGATATAAAATATATGGGAGAGGTTTAGAGTTTATGTCATTGAAATCTGTTCAATATTTGGAACCAAAGAAACTTACATAAGTTTCTTGCCTGAAGAGTATGTTGTGAGATATTGGGAAAACATGATCTAGAACCTAGTTTTGACTTCTAATTGACCTATGTTTTCCATAAAGAACATATATACCTACATTATAGTTTTCTAAGACTGTATTTAATTTGGGCAAGTATCTACTGTTATGTGATAAAAGGTAACATCCTTGGTTACATGATGGGAGTGAGGGAAGTAGTGGGATTAGAGAAGTGGGATTCTTGAAATCACGTAATTCTTAATAATGAGCTTGAAGATGAATTTAATCCATGAACTTTATCCTGATATTGTTATTTCCAGGTGACTTGAAAGGATATAATTGGTCTCAAACTCCAAACTATTGGTGACCAGAGATAACATACCTATTAAAGTTGTATGTTGGGGAAGGTGGGCCGAGTAAAAAGAAGAGCAGGAGGAATAGAAGCAAACTGTGGTCTGCTTTGCTTGAAGGAATTCATTTAAAATAAAGCAAACAGAAAAACTGCGTTAACCGCAATTTGTGGATTTAATCACAAAAAAAAAAAAAGTGGATCCTGTCTGTGTGAGTTGGTGTTTCTCCTGTTATTTGTTAGGTCAACTATGCTTAGCAGCCATTGTTGGTCGAAGCATGTTCTTAGTCCCTGGGGCAGTGGAACGTTATTGTCCACTGATTTTTCTTTCTTACAACCTAGAAAGTTCCTTTCAGTATTGACTTCCCTAGGAAGTGTGTTTATAGATTTTCCCCACTTCCTTCACCTCTAACAGTGCGTTGTTTGGCTGCTTCATCATTCCTTCTCATACAGATAGTATTCTGCATATTTTAAATTTATTTAGTTAGAAACTAAATTTCCCATAAAAAATATCATGTAAGAGGCTGTATTTATGTTTCTGCATGGCTTAGGAAAGAAAG